ACCAGCCACCATCTAATAAGCACACTCATGTAGTCTATGGAGAAGTCCACATGTGAGGAAGTGGGGTCTTCTGCCAACACCAGCAACTAGCACGAATTCACCAGCTATGTGGCTGAGCTGTCTTGAAAAGGACGCTCCTGTCCCACTCAAGTCTTCAGATGACTGTAGTCCTGACTGACACCTTGAATATTTATAACTTTATGAGAATATCTGAGATCTTTCATACAAAGAAGCTACTCCCAAACTCCAGACATAGAAAATGTGAGTATAGTAAATATTCATCTCTCTAGTAAGCCACTTAATCTGGGGATAATGTGTTACACAGCAGGATAACTAATATGGAGTCCCACCGATGTTGTCTACCAGTTACCTGTAGCTATGCCTAGGTCATCAACTCGCTTACTATATAAGCTTCCTTGTATCTCTTCCCAAAGAAGGACCATTCTCAAAATTCTTGTCACAGAGTTTTCTTTTGGGGTCTAGGACATGCCAAATATTATTATCTCCATTTTAGAAATTAAAAAATAGGACACATGGGTTAGAGTCATACAGCAAGTAATGGCAAAATGAGGTTTTCTTTTCTTTTTTTTTTTTTTTTTTTGATTCATTAAGTCTATTGGTACATTTTAGGTAGACAATATGATGACATTCATCACTGGGAATTTGTGCCTTTATGTGATATATCTTGATTCTTATTTTTTCCCCATTCCCCTGACCTCCCTTCCACCCCTCCACCCCTCCCTATTTACAAGGACTTTGTTTCCATTTTTTCCTTTTTCTCATATTTATTCCTTCCCCTTTCCCTACCCCCCCACTTCCCCTTCCACTTTGGACCTTCACATTATCTATTATACCTTTTAGTCCTTATTTACACTTTCAGTTTCTCACATCAGAGGAACTATTTGGTATTTACACATGTGTGTCCTATTTATTTCACTTGAGAGTATGGCCTCAATGTGCATCCATTTAGCTATAAATGTCTCTAGTTTCTCATTCTTTATGGCTGAGTAGTGCTCAATTTTATTTAAAAACAAAACAAAACAAAAAAAAAACTCTTTATCCAGTCACTAGTTGATGGGCAATTGAGTTGTTTCCAAATTTTAGCTATTACAAACTATGCCTCTATAAGCATAAGTGCTTATATATCACTGTGTCATGATTCTTTTAATTCTTTTTGGAAGATAACCAGCAGGGGAATAGCTAGGTTAAATGGGATCTCTCATCCTAGTTTTTTGAGGTATCTCCATACTGATTTCCACAGTGGTTGCACCAGTCTGCACTCCCACCAACAGTGGAGAAGGGTTCCTTTTCCCCACAGCCTCACCAGCATTTGTTATTGGTTGACTTCATGATAGCAGCCATTCTTTCTGGAGTGAAGTGGGATCTCAGCATTGTTTTCATTTGCATCTCTTGAATGACCAGTAATGTTGAACATTTTTTCAAAGTTTATTTGCTATTTCTACTTCTTTGTCTGAGAAATGTTTGTTCATTTCAGATGCCCAGTTTTGGATTGGGTCTTTAAATTTTGGAGGTCTGATTTTTTTAAGTTCTTTATATTCTAGATAGTAGACCTTTGTCTGAAGAACAGCTGGTACAATTTTTTGCCCACATTGTGGGTGGTCTCTTCACCCTGTTGGTGGTTTCTCTTGCTGTGCTGAGGTTTTCTAAAACTTAATTCACTACTTGCTGATTCGTCACAGAGACAGCCCCTTCATTCCCTAGAACAGGTGTGCCTGAACATTCTCCATGAGCCTGAACACTCACTCATCATAAAATTTAGTTTCAGCAAGCTCAATAACCAAAGCAGGAACTTTAGTCACTTAAGCCAAAGTGCATTTGTTTTTCTTAATGATACTTACACAACAGGGAGGAATGGTTGGCACATTAATGGATTATTCTTTTGTCGGCATTTAATGCTACGGCTCTGTGTGACTCTCCTGTGTTTTACGCCTCGATAACATGTGGTGGTCTGAAACTTCTGACCATGGTTGCCTGTAGTTAATTTATTGAAGTTAAGAACACATGACCACGCTGCGTGGGCCAGAAATTGCCAAGGGTCATTGCATTCAGATGAGGCCCCTATGTGTTGCACTTTCTGTTCGGACCAAATAAAATGAACAGCCAACTCATCTGTCAGATATTTAATCATGATAATCATCATGCTATGTGGTAATTAGGCATAAATAGGACATAAATTACTCTTGCCAGGCCCATTTTATACATGAGATAATAATTTTGTGGGTTTTTAAAAATAGTTTTACAGTATCCCTCTTTACTCACTCACAGTGGTTGATTTCCCCTGAGCCAGAGTGATAAAGAACACTTTTGGCTCTGAAACCAAAAAAATCACTCACACTGTGCGATCTTGCTCAGTCACATGACCTCTCCAGGCCTTTTATATAAACTCTGAATGAGTGCCTTCCCCACAGGATTGTGATAAGAAATCAAATGAGAAACAGAAATGAGTAGTGTTCATAAACAGTAGGTGTTCAGTAAAGGTCTCCTTCTTGTCTCTTTTATTGTACTGTCTCATGTTATTACTTTCATACACACCAGTGTTGGAGATTCTTGGGCATCTTCTCATAAGTTTACTTTTCCTGGACTGGACCCCACTCCCAAGTACATCCAACTTCTCTCTTCGGGTCCAAATGTCTTGTGCTAAAATCCCACCCATACTCACTCTTTAAAAAAAAATTGTTATCAGAAGAATAAAAATGTATACAAATCTTTTTTGGTATTTAAAACAATAGATCCACAAGTAGGAATAATCTGGGTTAAAATACTTCTGCGAGTAGGAGTAGCAACACTTTGGTAAGACTGAGTTCTAGTTACAGATAAATGATTAGTGGGACTTCTCTTTCTGTTTCATTGGATTTGGCTAGTGAGGGATTTGTATGGTTCTGGCCATCATTAAGGGCTCAAGAAAGAAAGAAGTGCTCTAAATTCCAGTCATATCCAGCAGGAAATGGGCCATAGTTTGGAATAATTTAGTGAATTTATACAGACAGAAACTGAGCACCAAAATACTTCATGTCCTCATGGCTGTGTGGTCTTCAGAGCCTGGGTAGGTACTGTGAAGGAGAAGAGTTTGCCTTTCTGTGTGAAGAGAAGAATTGTGAAAGTTCTGTCCAGTGTCAAATCCTTCTTCTCAGAATAATGACAACAACAATAACAACTTTCACTTATTAAAAGTCTAACATTGATTTGCATACAAGATTCACAAATTACTTCCTGATCTTACCACATTTGGTTTTCCTGCAGCTGGATAGATATGTAATTATTACCTCTATCTTTCAGAGTAGCAAATTGAGACCCAGAGAGTTTAAACATCTCACTCATCAAATTTATAAACAGTAGGCAAAAGAATCATGTCTGGTATTTTAATCCTAGATTCCTTCCTCTGATCAGATTCCTCCGAGAAAGAAATAATTAGCTTGGTTGAAGTATAAATAGAAGCTAAATTGTTAATTCTCCAATTAGCTTTTCTTGCTCTATATTTGTGTTTAGAGTTACAATGCAACACACCCAGATCATACTAGGTGGTATTAAAAACAATTTTTAAATAGTTGCTTAATAATTTTTGAGAAAAATAAATTGCCATGAATGAAGAGACTATTTCACATTGTCAAAGGTAATTGCATTCAGTCCATTGTAAATTGTCCAGTGACAAAAGGCATAAACTTTCAGAGATACTGTAGAAGGAAACTTCTTCAAGTGGTACCTATAATTCCACAGAAGGAAGTATTCAGATTTCACAAAAGAGCAAAGCTTTAGTGAATCAGCTGTGAAATGAAGTGACAGGTTTTTGCAACTTTTTGCTTATAATTCTCACTATAAATGTGGCTAAACTCAGCTATCAGTTCCCACAACACAAGCTCCCAAAATATAACGGCACAACATTCAGGCAGAATTGCATGACAGAGGAAAGGTAGCCAGGAAGCAGAAAGACAGGAAGAGCCTGAGAGAAACTGTCTTTCCTCCACTGTACCCCTCAACAATGATATTTCTGCCTCAGAGCCAGCTGACCATGGACTGAAACCTCTGAAACTGTGAGGCAAAGTAAGCCTTTTCTGCCTTACATTGTGAATGTTAGATATTTTGTCCAGCAAGGGAAAGGTGACTAATACACTTCACTGTTGTAAGTAACGCTGCAATGAACAGAGAAGTTGAGACATCCCTTCAACATAAGTGAAATTACTGAGTCATATGGCAGTTATATATTTTTGAGGAACCTACACACCTTTTCCATAATAATTCTACTAATTTATATTCCTACCAACAACACAGAAGAAGCCAAGACTGGTGATGCACACCTAAAACTTCAACACATGGGAAACTGAAGTAGGAGTATCACAAATTCAACCCAGCCTGGGCAAGCTATTGACTAAGACCCTGCCTCACATTTTAAAAAGGACCGGGGATATAGCTCAGTGTGAAGGCCCTCCTTTCAATCCCTAGTACCACTAAATCAGTCAAACAAACACAAGAGCTCCATTTTTCCACACCTGCTCTAACAGTTATCTTTCATGTTTTTGGTAAAACTATTCCAAGAAGTGTGAGGTGACATTACATTGTGGGGTTGAGTTTTATTAGGAGTGGGGTATTTGTTTTGTTTTGTTTCATCATTTTTCAGTGCTGGGCATTGAATTCAGGGCTTCATGCATGCTGAGCAAGTGTTCTACCACTGAGCGACCGTTCCATCCCTCACTGTATTTTTTTATTCTCATTTACTTGAAGATTAGTAATGCTGAACTTTTTTTTTCATATATCTGTCAGTCATTTGTGTTTTCTTTTGAAAAAAAAAATGTCTGTTGAGGGCCAGAGGCAGCGCACACCTGTAATCCCAGCACTCGGGAGGCTGAGGAAGGAGGTTTGCTGTGACTTTGAGGCCACCCTGGCTACTGAGTTTAAGGTCTGCCTGGGCTACATCGCGAGATCATGTCTCAAAGAAAAGTCCATTTGGGTCCTTTACCATTGTTTAATTTGTGTTACAGTCATACCTTGGTAGTCCTCAGCTTCAGAATTTGTCAAACCGGGAGCTCATCGCATTTTGCCAAGAAAAATGTTGCAGTACTCTTGCGCTTTCTTGGAACATATTCCATGTACATTTCTTGTATGGGTCATGACACAGGCCTGAAAGAGAAAATGCTTATTACTCATCATTATCAAGACAGTGCAGAATCCCTACATATTTGTAGTTACCATCTTGTAGTTTTGTGCATCTTTAGTGACAATCGTGCATCACAAAAAGGTTGATACCTGTAGTGATACCACTAAAGCCTAAAAGGCTTGTATTAACTTAGTAAATGGCTAATATCAGCCCAGAAAAATGAAAATTCTTGAAAACTTCCATGAAAGGATATATTCCTAATTACATCATTTCTTATGGGGAAATATTTTTATTGCTTATCAGTTTCCGCACTCTTCACCAGTTCCAGAATGAATTAGCTATGAATACCAAGGTACAACTGTATTTGCTTTATCGATATTGAGTTTTTTGAGTTTTGTATGTACTTAAGATACTAACCCCTTATCAAATGTACGCTTTGAAAATGTTTTATCTCATTTTGTGGGTCATTGCTTCTTATCTGCTTTCTTTTCTTTGCTGTGCAAAAGCTATTTAGTGTTGCCACCCGATTTGTCTCTTTTTCTTCACTCCTTGTCTATGCTTTCAGTGTCATATCCAAAGAAAACCATTGTTTAGGGACATTATTGTGAAGCTTTTCCTTTACACTTCCTTCTAACAGTTTTATATATTCAGGTCTTTAGTATTTAAGTATCTAACATTCTATTAGGTGATTATTATTACTGTACACGGTGTAAAGGTCTAATTTCATTGTTCTGCAATCGGTTGTTCACGTCTCTCAACAAACTACCGAATTAATCATCCTTCCCCCATTGTGTGTTCTTGGACCTTATGAGCTGTAGTCAAATTATGGTGAATGTTTGAATTTTTAAAAATTTATACCAAAAGATGCATTTCCTTGAACCCCCTCAACATACTATTCTTTGTGTTTTCATCACAGTTTGCAGTTTTCAGTATACAGATCTTTCATCACCTCAGTTAAATTTACACTGATGTATTTAAAGCTTTTGTTGCTATTGTAAATGAGATTGTTTCCATAATTTCTTTCTCAGATAGTTTATCATTCATATGTAGAAATGCTGCTGGTCTTTGTATATTAATTTTTTAATCCTGCAACTTTACTAAATTTGTTTATCATCAGTGTAACATTGTTTTGGTGGAGATGTCAGGGTTTTCTATTTATAAGATCTTGTTGTTAGCAAACAGATATGCTTTTACATCTTCCTTTCCCATTAGGATTCACTTAATTTCTTTCTCTTGTCTAACTGCTCTGGCTAGGATTCCAATATTATATTGAAAAGAAGTAGGGAGAGTGGGCATCTTGTCTTGTTCTGTCCATAAAGGAATAGCTTTTGACTTTTTAATGTTGATAACAATGTCAGTTATGGATTTGTCATACATAGCCTTTATTATATTGAAATACATTGCCTCTACACTTAATGTGTTGAGAATTTTTAATGAAAAATCATGTTGAATTTTGTCAAGTGGTTTTCTGCATCTAATAAGATGATCATATGATTTTCAGTCTTTAATTTGTTAATGTGGTATACCATATCTATATATTTACAATAATAGTGAATGATCCTTTTAATGTACTGCTTAATTTAGTTTGTAAGTATTTTGTTGAAAATTTATGTGTCTACAAAAAAGAACTCCAGATGTACTCAGCTACCTCATGTTTGACAAAGGAGCCAACCATCCTCACTGGAGGCCAGATAGCCTCTTTAATAAATGGTGTTGGCAAAACTGGATTTCAACCTGCCAAAGATTAAAACTAGACCCTTATCTTTCACCATGCACTAAACTAAAATCCAGGTGGATTAAAGATCTAATTATTAAAAGCGAAACATTAAACTTGCTAGAAGATAAGTTAGGCAGAATTCTTGAAAACATTGGCATAGGAAAGACTTTATGAACAAATCTTCAGTAGCATAGAACTAGCAGAAAGAATCAACAACAGGGATCTCATCTTATTAAGAAGTTTCTGCATTGCAAAAGAAACCATCAACAGAACTAAGAGACAACCTACAATGTGGGAAAAATTTTTACCTCAGACAAAGGACTATTATCTAGAATACACAAAGAACTCAAAAAAATCGTGCCCCCCCAAATATAAAGACTCGATTCAAAAATGAGCATCTGAAATGACCAGACATTTCTCAGATGAAGAAGTAAAAGCATCAAATAAATATATGAAAAAATGTTCCACATCACTGGTCATTCGAGAGATGCAATGAAAACAACACTGAGAATCCACTTCACCCCACAAAGAATGGCTGCTATCAAGAAATCACACAATAACAAATGTTGGTGGGGTTGTGGGGAGAAAGGAACCCTTCTCCATTGTTGGTGGGAGTGCAGACTGGCGCAGCCACTACGGAAATCAATATGGAGATACCTCAAAGAGCTGGGACTAGAGGTTCCATACCTCAAAGAGCTGGGACTAGAGGTTCCATTTGACCCAGCCATCCCTCTGCTGGGTATCTTTCCAAAAGAATTAAAAGAATCATACCACAGTGATATATGCACACTCATGTTTATAGTGGAACAGTTTGTAATAGCTAAACTTGGAAACAGCCCAAATGCCCATCAATTTAACACTGGATAAAGAAGATGTGGTTTTTCTATAAAATAGAATACTACTCAGCCATAAAGAATGCGAAATTAGCATCATTCATAGGAAAATGGATACATATTGAGGATATTCTCCTAAGTGAAATAAATAAGTTACACATGTATAAGTACCAAATAGTTTCTCTGGTGTGAAAAACTATAATAGTACATAAGATCCTAATGATATAATTGACAACATGAAATAGGAAGAAAAGGGATAAAGGTGTAGTGGAAATGAGAAGGGTAGGGGAAAGGTAATAAGGGAAAAGGAAAAAAAACATGAGAAAATGAAAAAATGGAAATAAAGCATTTGTAAATAGGGAGGGGAGGAGGAGGTGAAGGGAGGGCAGGGGTAAGGAGAAAAAATGAGAACCAAGACCTGTCATGTAAAGGTACAAGATCCCAATAATGAATGTAACTGTACTGTATACCTAAAATGTGCCAATAAAATCAATGAGGAAAAAAATAGAAAAGAAAATTTTTGTATCTATATTCACCAGGGATACTAGCTTATAATTTTTTTTGTCATATCTTATCTGAGTCTGGTATTCGGATAATTCTGATTTCATAAAATGAGTTTGGAAGCATTGCCTCTACTTTGAGTTTTTTGGTGGGAGGAGCTTGAAAAGAACTGGTTTTTAGTCCTTAAAATATTTGGTAAAATTTAATAGTGAAACCATCCAATCCTAGGATTTTCTTTGGTTGGGCACATTTTATTATTCAATCTCATTTTTTGTTTGTTCAGACTGTTTATTTCATCATAAGTCAATCGTGGTAAATTATGTGTAACTAGGAATTTATGCATTTCATCTAGATTATCAAGTTTATTGATGTTCAAGAGTCCCTAATAGTTTCTTCTAACAATATATATTATCTTTGGTACATCTCTGTAAAGGAAGCCCCCAAGATATACTACAAGAACAGAAGCATGGGGCAAATTAGCAATGAGTGAGAACAAAGCAACTAAATTCTCTCCAACCACAATGGGAAATAAAGTTCAACACTTTCAATCATTGAGTAACTGTTATTTAAACTTCTGAGCTTTCAGGCTGAGTTTGAAATTGGCTGTATTCTCAGGGATAAATTTTCAGCAATGTCATGGGGAAACTTGACAAAATAAGGTCTTCTCCTAGCCCTGAAGGAGTTGCAAGGGTCTCTGAACAAATAGCAGGGGGAAATTCAATAACCAATTCATCCTTCTCCACTCACAACCCATCAGTCAGACCCAGAGGTTTCTATTTTCTCAAGTCTCATCAAAGACTGGAGAGTTCTAGAGGAGGAAAAGAAAATTTCAAAGGATTTCTGGTAGGAGCAAAGACAATTTCACAACATGCAGGGAAGTAGATTGTTTGACCTGCTTGAAAAAAGAAAAACAGAAAAATAACCAAAAGATGGAAGAAAATACCTATCAGTAGCCAGAGAGTGGATAAGTGTATAAATGAACAGGAAGAAGATGCATTAAAATGGCCTCCAAATGGAACATCCATTTTATCTCTGGAAGTTACATCTCTAGTTGCCAATTTAGACAAAGAGGTTAAAAATAAAGGCTGGAGGTAACTATGTGCTTTGGAATTAAAACAGCATCTGCAGTATTATTAGCTAGTCCAAGATGTGCAGAAGCTATCAATCTTTCTGTTCAGGAGAATAATTGATTGCCATAGGGGCCTAGGCAGGCTACTTCTCTCTCCCTGAGGTCTGGCCCTGAGTTATGCACAATTAGCTAAGTGCGTCAGCTGGAGAAGGCTGGGAGCACAGTTGGCTCCTTCTTTCACATGAGGTGCTAAAGGAAAGATAACTCAGCTATATACCTGCCCCAAACCAGGACCAACACCACCCACTAACATTTCATAGGAGCAGAAGCATTTGCATATGGAAAGGTGCTCCTCTTTAGACTTTAGGCAACTCACCTGGGACAACTTGGGAACCCTACGGTAGGGAAGAAATTAATAATAGCACTAACAATGATAATATTGACTGGACACCTTATAATTAAATTATGTCCAGCTCTTGGAGTGAATTAAAGGCAAGTATTAGCCTTGCTTTTTAGATGATCTTCCTATTTGCCTGTTTGCTCTAATACCTATTTCCCACCTTTTCCTTCTCTTATTATGTTCCGTATTATAGGGAACTACATTTCCCAGGCACGCTTGCTAACAACCTTCTAGGCAGCTCCAGCCAAAAGGAAGCTCTGGTGTGAGCTGTGTCTATAAATCCCTTCTTTGGATAATGTTTCTACAGGCCTAAAATACTCAGGACTACAAAAGGAACCAGCTATATTGAAATATAGTTATCAAAAATATGCCTAAAATAAATTTGTAATGTAGTAATATTGTGTATCTTTATTAAACATTAAATAACAAGATCTAGTGGTGGAAGCAGTAAGTTAGAGTTATGGAACTAATGAATATTTCAGGATATCTATAATAATAACTAT